CCCCTTCCACGGCCTTCCCTCCCCTGAGCCCTGGGCCCTCAGCCAGGAGAAGGGCTCCCACCCACCCCACCCTCCCTCAGCCAGAGGCTGGGTGGCTTCCGGAATAAATGCCCAGCGGGAGCCCAGAGCTGGACTCTGCGAGATTTGCCGTGTGGACTTAGGTGACTCTCAGCCCATCTCCAGGCCTGCCTGCTCACCCGGCAGCCAGGGTGGGTCCACCAGCACTCAGCACCCCTTGTGCTAGGCTGAGAACCCCAGCCCGCAGTGGGATAGCTGGGATGTGCTTGCAGCGGGAGGTGCGGTTGGTCCCGGGAGGGTTCAGGGCCAGCCGGGGCCCCCACTCAGCCAGGAACCAAGGGGCTGGGGTGTTATTCTTGACTGATGTTCTCTCTCTGTCCCATCCTGCTCTGATCCGGCGCATGTCCCTCCTCTCCCCCTCCCCCTCTCTCTGCTGCACTCTGGCATCTCACAGCTATCACTTGATCAGGTAATTCTGGTGTGGTCCTCCTCCTCCTCCTGTTCCTCTTTCTCCCTCCTGCCACCCCCTTCTCCAGTTCTGTCTGAAAACCTGCCGTGCACCAAGCCCCGTGCCTGGGTCACACTCGCAGACACCTCCCCCTGCCTGAAGCCTCCCCCAGCCCCCGCAGTCCTCCTCTCTGCTCTTCCCATCTGGCCGTGTGTTCCTCTGCACTCTGTCCCCACTGTGGTTTCTGCAGAAACTGGGGACCATCATTTCCTTGGCAGCTTCCTGACCTGGCCTCTCCCGGCACCAAAGTGTCTCCCTCTGGGGGGGACCCCGCCTGGGCACCCTGCCCCTCTGCGTCTGGCACTCACAGGCGCCTTCAGCACCTGCCCGCTGCAGACTCTACCAAGCTGCTGTCTCTTCCCATCCTCTCCCTCTCTGGGTTCGCCTCTCCTGTTGTTCATGCTGTTTATCTTCCTCCGCGTCTCTCTCATCTCCTTCTATCTCTTCTTCACGTCCTGTCTCTGACTCCCACCCTCGTGCCCACACAAAGCCTTTTCCTCGTCCCCGCGGGGACCCCACAATGGCTGCGCGTCCTGTTCCGGGTGTTGTGGCTGCGGAAACCCTGCCTGACACCTTCCTTCTGGATTTTCATGTTAATTTCCACGATGAGACCCAGAGCGTAGGGATCCAGGTCCCCCTTGGTCAAGTGCCTTAGGCCCTTTGGGGTCAGGCCGGTTCACTGATGAGCCTCTAGGAGGAGAGACTGTGCTCCCTGGCCGTGGGACCTTCACCCGCTCACTCCTTCCTCCTCCACTCAGTCGCAGACACCCACACGTGCTGGCTGGTGCTGGGCCTGTGGCACGGAGTCAGGCCTTGTCACATGGAGCTGCCAGCATGCTGGGCAGGCCGCCCTGTGATGATTCCAAGAACTGGCACGGCCGTGCCCGCCCCGCTCAGATACAGCCAGGGTGGTGTCATTGTCTCCTGGGGATCAGGAGAGGCACAATGGAGGACAGACCGTGGGGGATAGGAGGGGGGAGACTGTCATTCCCCTGTGGGCCTCACTCCATTCATTCCCTCAGCAAGTGCCTGCTGCGCCCCGTGAGTGGCGGGCGCTGGTGTTGGTGTTGGGGCACAGCGGTGAATAGGTGCAGTCACTGCCCTGGGGTTCACAGGGCAGCCAGCCCTGCCACGGCGTAGGTGCCGCCCCCGCCTCCGCTTTCCCCTTCTCTGTCTGCTCTGTTCATCCGTCCGTCTGCCTGTCCTCCTGTCTGTCCATTTCTGCTGCGCTGACCCCATCTAGAAACTTGCAGTTGGTTTCTTGTAGAGTCTTGGCTCCCTCCATCCACCCAAGCAGGATTCAGTCCCCAGGGGGTTGGGTTCTCCTTTCCAAGCTGACCACCCACTCCTCTTGGTGGGGACAGGGGTGGGATCCAGTGAATCCATCTAGACCCCAGGAAAAGTCTTAAGTTCAGAGGTCAGGGCCATAGGGCTAGTTCAGAGGAACAAAAGCAGCAGAAACAGTACCCTGGGCTGGGCATGGGAACCTGAGTCCTCCCCACTGGTGCCTGGTCCCTGCCTGCCCTGTACACGCCCCACCTCCCAGCCTGGTACTTGTCTCAGCCATCAGAGGCATTAGTGCTCTGGCCTGTCCCTCCCCAGCAGGGTTGCTGAGACGGAGCAGTAGACAGCCCCATCCCAAGTCACTCTAAGCCCCTTGCCTCAGGGACCTGTGAAGACCCCCACCACCCACCCTGCCTCCCTGCTTTCCTTCCCTTCCTCCCGGGGCTCTCCCCTCTGGCTTCGCTCAGCCTGGTCATGATGGCGGAGCTACAGGAGACCTCAGCTGGGACTCTCAAGGTTGGCTCCAGGGCAGGTCATCAGAGTCATTCCTGCTAAGCTTCTCCTGCCCTCAAATTTGTCCCATCCAAAGAGAGCCAGGTGCATAACTGGGGCACCTGAGACAACTAGCCAGCCCTGATCCTGGGCCAGGGCTGCTGATTTAGGGTTCTGAGGTCAGAAGGAGGCGAGAGAGCCCTGGTTGAGAGAGAGTAGGCTCTGATTCAAGCCCCAGCTCCAACCCTCTCTGGGTCTCAGTTTCCCCATTTGTACAGTGGGACAAGAGCCCTGCTGGTCTCTCAGGCCACATCCAGAGAGGCTCTGGAAGTGGGCAAGATCCCTGCTCCAGGGAAGGAGTGGGAAGGGACCTGATGTCCACGGGGCCATCTCTGCAGGTGGCGCCTGGGTGGCATACGGAGCTACAACCCTGAGCAGATCATGCTGAGCGCCGCAGTGCGCCGGACCAGCCGGGACGTCAGCATCATGAAGGAGAAGCTCATCTTCTCAGGTGCACAGCCCCGCACACGGGTTCTTCATACCCGACACGTGCACACAGACGTGCACACAACACGTTCACATGCAGCGCGCACAGGGAGGGACACGGGCACGGACATACACAAACCTGCCTGGGTTTACACCTGCCTACATACGAGGGCACACACGCACAGCCTGTGGCGTGGTGTCCGTGCCCTGGGCAAAGTTGAGGTGCAGGGCTGGGGCAGGGAAGGAGGCCGTGTCAAAGGCCCATCCCCCTTTGCCTGGTTCATACACAGATGCCACAAATATTGATCTCAGCCCTGCTCATGGCCAGTCCCTGTGGACACTCCCAGTCTGATGGAGGAGGAGCGATGTAACAAAGACGTGGGAAGTAGAGTTCCCACAGATGGGGTGCAGAGCAGGGAGCGAGGTCAGAGCTGCCTGGGGCAGTGAGGAAGGGTTGGGTGACTGACATATTAAGATGTGGAGGATGGGCAGGAGGGGCCTGGGTCTCGGGTTCAAGGTGGGGTCTGGGTGAGGGAGGAAGGAAGGGTAATCCAGGCAGGGGCAGCATGTGCTCAGCGGTGGCGAGGGAGCACGTTTCTGGGCACGGAGAGTGAGCTATCACTCCACAGGGCTGAGCTCTGCGCTGCAGACCTTGCCTGAGCCTCTGCTCAATGCCTGGCACTTTGCCAGGCACCGGGGACATAGTGCCCAGACCCCAACCCAGCTGGGGCGCTCAGAGGCAGTTTCCAGGGGGCTGAAATAACACAGATGAGAAGACTTGAGCTAGATTTTAGGAAAAGGAGGTATTGCCGGGGAGGTCACTCCCAAGAGAGGGGCCACATGTGTGCAAAGGCCCTGAGTAAACACATGGGTGCTACACTTGAGTAGGTTTTCTGTGGCTGGACAGTGCAGTTCCAGGGAACAGCAGACTGAGGTGAGGTCAGAGGGTTCAGCAGAGACCAAGGGGCCTGAGTGCCAGCTCAATGCCAACCCCACCCCAGCGGTACCAACAGCTTCCAAGTGACCGGCTAGGTTGTCACAGGCTACCCTTCCCATCCCATCTGCCAGCCATCCTCATGCCCCCACCCCCTCAATTCATATTCTGTCTCCCTCTGGCCCAACAGAGATCAGCGATGGCGTGGAGGTCTCCGATGAGCTCTCCGTATGTTCAGACAACAGTTATGACACGTATGCCAACAGCAACACCACCCCTGTGGGCCCCCGAGGGGCCGGCAGCCGCGCCAAGACTCTCACAGACCGGAGTGGGCGTTAGCTGTAGACCTGTCTGTCCCAGCCTGTACCTAACGTAGAAACCGCGAACCCAGGAGACCTGGCAGAGCGTGTCTGGACTCGGAGCGCTATGGGAGCTGGCTCCCCCGCCTCCTCATGGGCTCAAGCCCCTTGTCAGCCACAGCCTCTTTTGGAGGGAGCTGCCTTCTCCCCTGAGGCCCAGCTGGGCCAGGACTCCTGCCTCTCAGACGCCCCTGCAGGCCTAGGGCTCCTTCTGGGAAGTGTGGGGCCTGGTCTCCTTCTGGAGGCCCTTCCCAGCTTCCTGACCTGGAAGCTCTGACGAGTCACTGGGCCATGCCATGCCCCCGACAGCAATGGAGGAGGTGGATGCTCACCCGTGCCCACGTGTCTGTCCTGTCCATTCCATGAGGTGACTGACTTCTCCGTTGCTATCCTGCCCCAAGGGCCTGGGCTGGACCTCTACCCGAAGCTGCTCTGCTCTTCCCATCAGCCTCAAAGCACAAGGAGGTCCGGCCCGGGAGGAAAGCCAGCGGCAATGGTGGGGACATGCCCTCTTCCCGATCAGCTTCCCACCACCACTGGCCCCTGCCCCAGGAGAGGGCCGAGCCATGTCCCCTAGGAGCAGCTGGAGATGGCCGGAAGTTCAAGTTCAGAGCTGCTTGATCTCACGCCCAAGTGTCCAACAGGCCTCTGGGGCAGAAGCACCCCTGAGGCCCAGGAGATCCCCAGACTGCTGCAACCTCAGGTTCCCACATCTGTGGCCACAGGGCGAGAGCTACCTGGGCATGGTCAATGGTGGGTGTGCGGCTAAGTTGGCTGCAGTGGAGGGAGCCCAAGGGTCTTGGCCACGATGATTAAAGCTGCCATCTTGATGTGTGTTGTCTCTGAATTGTCAGCAGGACGATGGGGACAGAGTATGCTGGGTTTTGGACTCAGTTCTGGCCTCATGATTTGAGGAGGAATCATCCTCAGAAATTAATGGGACCGTGGTAGGATGACTGGGCCCCTACCCTGCACCAGCCGTGGTGCCAGGAGTTCCCAAACAGCCCTGTGGCTGGGAACCAGTGTCATATTGTACATGGGAAGACTGTCTTGGAGAGGTAAAAGTGGCTGTCCAAGGCCATATGGCTTAGAACAGGCAAAGCCTGAATCCCACCCAGATGCTGGCTCCAGTGCACCCACGTGCCTTCTGTCCCAGCTAGGAATGGCACAGCAGCCGGGAGGCCTCCTGGGTCTGTAGAGCTGGGAGTGGGACTGGCAGGTCCCCTCATGGCCACATGAAAGCGTCTGAGCCCCTGGCCTATGGAGGGATAAGCCCTCAGCCCAGAGATGCCTCTTCCCTGTGGAAGGAGTTTGGCTTTGACTTCTCTGGGCTTTGGACCTGCCTGAGGTGGGCCCAGCCCATGCCCAGCACAGTACACCTGGGACTACAGGTGTCCCTTCCTGTCTTTCAGTCTTTGGGGATCTGCCCTCCACCCTCTGTGGGAAGGGGTCAGTGGTGGAGCCAGGGCAGGCCTAGAACCCTGACCTTTGTCCTAAGAGTCTGCATGGCCCTAGGTGTGTCTTAGGGGAGAAGGAAGAGGCTGGATCCCAGCTCCAGCCTGCACTGAATTAACTGCTTCCTGGGGGCCAAGGATGTGTCTCTTCTCCAAACAGAGGTCTTCAGGATAGAATTTTTGGAGTCCAAGATTCTCGCACCTTCTTGGAGGAAAAGAAGAGCCCCCTCCAAATGTCAGAACCTACACCGGGCCACCCACATTAACCCTGAGGACTGCCCCTCCCAGAGATTCACCCCCCTCTTCTGCCAGTATTGAGCCTCTAGCAAGCTCTTCCCTTCCTGGGGCAGAGACAGCTCCCACCTCTCCCTAGGCACAGGGAGTGAGTGAAACCCAGAACCGCGGTGCCCCTCCCAGGGACACATACCACCTCAGCTCATACCATGTCACACACGGACCACGTGCTGTGTATACACACATGGTCCATGGATACACACACCCCTGTGACAGGGTGCACAGAGACACAGATGCCTGACACACAGAGAAATGAACCATCACACAGAGACAGGGTCATGGAAGTCCCACAGTGACATATGTGCTGTCAAGCAGGAACACAGACAGGCACAGAATCATGCAAGGCTGAGGGTGAGAAACCAAATCTGTAACTGTGGCAGTCACACTCTTAGTCACATCTACAGCTACACGATCACACACACCCACACGTGCACACCCACCACAATGCTACACAGTCACTTCGTTCCATGCACTCCCACACTCACAGACAGGTACCTGGAGTACCTACACACTCACAACCACATGATTACATGCCCCCCCATACACCTTCAAACCCATAGTCATTCACAGACACGGCCAGCGCCAGGTCACCCCCAACCCCAGGCACACCAGATCCCTTACTTGGTTGCACACACAGTCGATCCCAGGCTTACTCACATCCCTCCTGCCCTCCCTCCCTCCCAGGGCTAGTCCAAGAGCTGAACAAAAGCCCAGTGTCCCCCTCCCCCTCGCTTCTCCCTTCCCCTCCCCCCCTGGCGTCCAGCCCCTTTGTCCTCCCACAGCTGAGCCTGAGCAGGAGTCTGGGCAGAGCAGCAGGGATATTGAAGCCCGGGCTGCCAGGGGTGCGGGCAGCAGGCGCAGACCAGAGCGAGCAGCGGTCCCTGCAAGAGCAGCAGCTGCAGAGCCTCCGGGAGAGGGCGTGGCCAGGTAAGCTGCAGGTACTTGGGGCAGGGCTGCGGGGCTGTGTGGTGTCAAGACTAAGTCTGTTTGTGTGAGTGGAGGTGGGTGTGAAAAAGACACAGGCAGGGTGGCATGCTCGAGTCAATTTCTACAGGCTGGCTCCCTCAGTGTGCGTCTGAAATGGGAGGATGCCCAGGGAGCCCTACCTGGGAATCCCCACCTTTCATCTTCCAACTGGGTGTCCTTTGGCCCCCGGACTGGGAACCCCCAGGGTGGAACCGGGTCGGACATCCCTGTGTGTCCACGGTGCCAGCATGGTAGAAGCAGCAGAAGGAATGAAAAGTACTGGTGCGCTTCCCAGGAGGGGACTCCCTCCTGCCCCCAGGCAGCCCTTGTGCTGTGGGGCACCCTGCAGGGAGAATTCCCTTCCTGTGCGGAGACCTGCCCTCTTGGGTCTCAGCTCAGAGTGTGGCTGCTTTCTGGGCCAGCAGAGGACAGACTGGGGTTAGCATACTCTGACCTGTCTCACCTCTCTCCGGCTGCTCCTCGGGACACGCCCCCACCCTGGCAAGGGTGGCAGACCCTGGAGCCAGCAGGGTTCAGGGTCCAGCCCCTCTACTTGGGCAAAAGTAGCAACCTTCCTTGTCCACCAGGGAGCTCATTTTTTGGGATGCTGAGGAAGGGACCCACTGCCTGGAATTACCAGGGCATGAGCAGAGAAAGCCAGGCTGACACTGGGCAGGTTCTGACATCCAGAAGCAGCAGACCAGCTGGGACCAGGAGAATGGAGGGAGAGGCAATGGGCAGAGGACAGATCTGAGCTCCTCTAGAGTAAGCTCCCACATACAGGAGCAAGCTCTCTGTCCCTGGAGGGATGCAAAGGCTTTATCTTCATGATGGCGAGATCATAACTAGTATGGTATGGTCCTTCCATCTGCAGAGTGTCTTCACTCCTCCTTTGATCCTTCCAGCAAACCTCTGAAGGGCAGACTTCCTCTGTGTGCTTGTTTCCTTATGATTAACTTAAATAAAGCGGGGGAAAGGCTGCTCTAAAGAAACTTCTCAAGGTTGTGGGGATCAAATTAAATTATGTACATAAAAGAAACTAGCACACATAGTGTACTCCCTTCTCTTGAATAAGAACAATGTAAGGTGGCCAGGCAAAGTGGCTCATGCCTATAATCCTAGCACTCTGGGAAGCTGAGGCAGGAGGATCGCTTGAGGTCAGGAATTTGAGACCAGCCTGAGAAAGAGCGAGACCCCCTCTCCACTAAGAGTAGAAAAATTAGCTGGGCATGGTGGCGCACACCTATAGTCCCAGCTACTCAGGAGGCTGAAGTAGAAGGATAGCTTGAGCCTGGGAGTTTAAGGTTGCTGTGAGCTAGGCCAAGGCCATGGCACTGTAGCCTGGGCAAGACTCTGTTTCAATAAAAAAAAGAAAGAATAATGTAACATTTATTCAGTTTGTACTATGTACCTAGCACTTTTCATATGTTCCATTTAATAGTCAAAGTCATAACAAGCCTGGGAGGTAGGAATTATGATCCCATTGCACATGACATAACTGTGGAGTGTTAGATGAGTGATTTGCACAGACCACACAGTGAGTCTGTAGTAGGGACAGGATTAGAACCTCCATTCGTCAGGTCAGCAGAGTTCCTTCCACTTCCCCGGGTGCCTCCTTGAGAATACCAAGAGAACTCAACCATCCTCCTCAGTTTGAAGGCCTCCTCTCAGGGATACCTTCCCCAACCTCCCTCCAACTGCGTTTAGTGCCCCTTCTATGAGCTCCCCTAATATTCTGTACTTTCCAGGGGCTCTGCCAAGCTGTGAGCTCTGGGAAACCAGGGCCTGTGTTGTCTTGCTCACTGCCTAGCACAGAAAAGGCTCTTAATAAATACTTGCTTAATTCGTACACTCAACTTTGAACAGGTGTTAATTGAGAACCTACTATGGTACGATGCTGTGCTGAGGAGGGAGGGGCAGATATCAGAGTGATCAGGGTTTGGTCAGTGGGAAGCACCTCCCTGAGATGAGATTCGCAGGAGAGGTAGAGTTACTATAACCTTTCACCCGGCTACACACACACTGGGTTTCTGTGGAGTAGCTAGAATTTCCTGATCAAACACTAAAGCTCCGGTCATAGGACCCTCCCTACACAGATATTCTGTCCAGGTTCCAGTAACCTCCCTGCCCTCCCTGTCAGACCCTGGGGAGGTAAAGGCTTCCTGCCGTTGGTAGCCACGTGGCACTGCTCTATCCCTGCTGGAGTCCCTAAACACCGCCTCCGTTTATAAATCGTTCCTTTATTGGACTCTCCTCAAATTACTGTATTTGAGAGCGTGCCATCTGTCTCCTGCAGACATTGACAGGAAAAAGCTTAGCGGGTTTGAAGAACAGAAAAGGGCAATATGTCTGAATGGAAAAGCGAGGGAGAATGCGGTGCCCATAAGGCAAGGGCTAGAGCTCCTGTAGCCTTAAGGAATCTGGATGCGTGCATGGAAGGAAGAGTAGTTGAATGAACGGAAGCGCACACGCGTCAGTAAACTAGTGATCTAAGAAAGGAATAAAAGGATGAGGTCGCTCCCTGGCCCGGCCCCAGCCAGGTGGATCCCCCCACGCTGTTTGTGTTCTCTACCCAGCAGGATGCGGGAAGCCCTCGGGCCGGAGGAGTCGGAGCCGGGCTGCGAGGCGCAGTGCGCGGGGTCCTGCCACGCGCAGCGCGTCCTGCAGACCCTCAACGCGTACCGGCGGAGCGGCACCCTCACCGACGTGGTGCTGCGCGCCGGCGGCCGCGACTTCCCGTGCCACCGCGCGGCGCTCAGCGCGGGCAGCGCCTACTTCCGCAGCCTGTTCGCGGCCGGGCGGCCGGAGCGCGGCCTGGCCGTCGTGCCGGTGGTGCCCGACGCGCCGGGCGCGGGGCCGGCCGGGGCGGCGGCGGCGCTGGCCGTGGTGCTCGACTACGTGTACGGCGCGGGCGTGCGGCTGCGCGCCGAGGACGAGGCGGCCGCCGTGCTGGCGCTGGCCGAGCGGCTGGGCGTGGCGGGCCTGCGCGAGGCCTGCGTGCGCTTCCTTGAGGGCCGCCTGCGCGCCGCCAACAGCCTGGCGCTGCGCCGCGTGGCGGCCGCCTTCTCGCTCACCTCGCTGGCCGAGCGCTGCGGCCGCGTCCTGCGCCAGGCCTTCGCGGAGGTGGCGCGCCACGCCGACTTCCTGGAGCTGGCGCCCGACGAGGTGGCGGCGCTGCTGGCCGACCCCGCGCTGGGCGTGGCGCGCGAGGAGGCCGTGTTCGAGGCGGCCATGCGCTGGGTGCGCCACGACGCGCCGGCCCGCCGCGGGCAGCTGCGGCGCCTGCTGGAGCACGTGCGCCTGCCGCTGCTGGCGCCCGCCTACTTCCTGGAGAAGGTGGAGGCCGACGAGCTGCTGCAGGCCTGCGGAGAGTGCCGCCCGCTGCTGCTCGAGGCCCGCGCCTGCTTCATCCTGGGCCGGGAGGCTGGCGCGCTGCGGGCCCGGCCGCGGAGGTACGGCGGCCGCCCCCTAGCAATCCACCCCCTGTTAACGTTCTTCAACCAGTCACTCGTTTCTGCATCGTCCTTTCACTGTCTTGGTCATGCCTCTTGATGAAATTGTCATTCGCTCAACATCTTACAGGCTTAGAGCTGGGGGTTCTGCTAAGAGTTAACAGGCAAATGAGGGAGATGTAGGGATCCCACACCTGGCGCACATTCTTTCTCTCCCCCATGCATCCATAAATCCAAGTGCTTACTCTGTGCAGGCCCTGTACTGGGTGCCCGCAACATGGGGCTAATTTGGAAACATCCTTTGCCCTCTGGGAGCTCACAGACTGGTGAGGGATACAAAAAGGCAGGAGAATGGGGAAAACATGAGAGACTTATTCCACCCCTGCAATGTCAGACCGGGAGACTATGGGTGGGGTGGTCCAAGATGGTCTGTCACTCCCACCCCAGGGACAGAAGACAGGATGACACTGTCTTATCACAATATCTCTAACACTAAGCACAGAGCCTGGGACAAAGAAGATGCTCAGTCCCAAAGGAATTAGAAAACCAGTAGCTAAAGGGTTAGGAAATTCTGGTGGGGTCAGTGAGGAGTCAGTGGGAGGAAGGACTGCTTTGCTGAAAGGGTGAGTCGTCTGGTTCAATAGAATTTGTGATGGGGGCTGGCTGTAGGAGATAGTCCTAGGAGGAGGGAGGCAGCAGAATTAGCAGTTGGGGATGTCGGCCAGAAAAGGGTGTTGAAGAGGATGAATTAGTGTTAGACCAACGTGGGCTTCAATTCCAGCTCTGTCACTTATTGGCTACATAACTTCGGGCAAGCCATAGTCTGTGAGCCTCAGTTTCCTCCTCTGCGAAAGGGGTAATAAATCCCTACCTAATAGAACTGTCATAGGATTAAACGAGGTGATTTTTCTAGGTAAGGGCAAGGGCTCTGTAAAGATTTTTTTTTCCTTGTAACTTAGAGGTCAGTAAAACGGGGTGGAATTAGTGGCCCTCTTCCTATCAGTAGCCAGAGGGAAGGCTGAAAGTGGCAGAGTGGGGGACGGGGGGCGGGGTAGCATGGAAGAGCAGCAGGACCCTACAGTGTGATCAGCGACAGGGGAGAGAGGGCAGAACTTGGGTTCTGTCAGCAGACATCGGGCTTATCCCCACACCAGATTCATGGACCTAGCTGAAGTGATCGTGGTCATTGGCGGTTGCGACCGCAAGGGTCTCCTGAAGCTGCCCTTCGCGGATGCCTACCACCCAGAGACCCAGCGCTGGATCCCGTTGCCCAGCCTGCCGGGCTACACGCGCTCAGAGTTCGCCGCCTGTGCTCTCCGCAACGACGTCTACGTCTCTGGTGAGGGCGGGGCCGCGGCAGGAGTCCCCCATGGGATTGGCGCATCAGCCCCCCACGCACCGCCCCCTTTGTTTTTCCCTCCAATCCGGAGATGGGGGCGGGATTTTTCTACCATTATTGGCTGAAGTGGTGTGCCGGCAGAGCCAATCACTGGTGTGGTACTCTGCACTTTATTCAGCAAGGTCCCCTTCGATTTATGTTAGTATTGATAATAACCTCTTTAGCTTGCTGTGTGCTGTACATTATGCTAAGCAGCTTCCATTTATTTAATCCCCCTACAATGCCATTTTACAGATGAGAAACCAGTCTCAACAATGGCAGAGCTAGGAGGAGCACAGGTCTGTTTGATACCCACGAACTGTGCCCTCCCTGAAATTCAGGCCCTAAAGATTCAGAGAGGAATAAAGCACAGTCCTTGCTCCCCTGGAGTGCCCTGGAGAGGGGCACAGACTTCACATTACCACCAGGCAGAATGTGATCAGAGCTCTGATTCCCCCGATGATCTGAAATCCCACTCAGGGAATCTGGCCCACCTTCATGGAAGGATGGTATTTCAGCTGGTCCTTGAAAGTCAGAGGGAACAGTATAGCCAAAGGCATGAGGGCAGGGACGTGCAGAAAGGGACTCTGGGCACTGGGGGCTCTGAAGCACAGGTTGACTATATGTTGGAGAGTCAGGAGGAGTCAGATTAGGGAGGCTTTGACTCTGGGTCTAGGTAGACTGTACTTGATGTTGTGGTGCGCTGTGGGTGCCCACGGAAAGTAAGGAGCAGTACAATGAGCCAGGGAGGCCTCAGAGACCATCCAGACCACATGTTACCACTGGACAATTTTTCCAAGGCCACTGATGGCCTCTGAGCAACAAGTGGGAACTATGCTGGGTGCCACTGAGAATACACAGGTGGGGGCTACCAAGCAGATGTGGCTCTGGTCACATGCTTAGGCTGGGCAGCACAGTCAGGGTTGTCCCTGGGGAGGCTGCTCCTGAGAGGCAAATGCCTGGTCAGAATCCCTGATGTGGCCAGGCACAGGGAGGGAGAGTCCACAGCCTGCATCCCCAGTGCCTGGCCCTGTAGGGTGTGTTGTGTCCTTCAGCAGCAAAATGCGGGACTGGGGGGCCAGAAGCTCTGGTCCTGGTCACTGCTCTGACGAAAGCCCATGTGGTCTTCAACATGCCATTGCTGGTCTCTAAGCCTCACCCGAATTTCCTGTATGTAACCTGGGTGTAAGAATCCCAACACCTCATGGAGGGGTAAGATCAGAAATGAAATCATGAAGGTAACAGCAGAAGGGAGGATTATTGGGTCACCCTTTACCCCTTCCACTCCCAGTGCAGGTGGCTCTGCTTTCCCGTGATCCCCAGCACATTTCTGATGCTTGTCTTGGGTACCCTTTGAGTACAACCTTTAGTAGAGTGCCCCCTCTTTGCTTCCCTGCACACACAGCCTGGCATACCATCACAAGGCACCTAGTGAAGGTCAGCTCCTTCTTCCTGAATCTGTCAGGCCTCTCTCCTCGAGTCCTAACTCAGACCTTCTCACTGCTGGTTCAAAGCACACTGTCTGGGTCACAGGCTCCGAGACTTACACCAGCCCAGGGGAAGTCCTTCCTGCTCTCGGTTCTTAACCCTTCCTGAGGATATAGGGCCCTAGTTTCTAGCTCTTTAGGGATGCTGGAGATAGCAAGAGGGCTTGGGGGCAACAGCTGCTTCTCTCTCCCCAGGAGGCCACATCAACAGCCGTGATGTGTGGATGTTTAGCTCCCACCTGCACACCTGGATCAAGGTAGCCTCGCTGCACAAGGGCAGGTGGAGGCACAAGATGGCAGTCGTGCAGGGACAGGTAGGCACACACTGCAGCTGCTGCCCTGGGACCCAAGGTACAGATCTGTGGGGGGAAGGCTAAGACCTCCTCTTTGTAAGAAGGGATCTGAGAAAAGAAAAGGGCTTTGCCCAAGGTCACATAACAATGCTAATAATTATAGCAATTATTGTAATTGTAACAGCTAAGTGGTCAGTAGTATGGGCTCTGGGGCCAAACAGTCTAGGTCTGAATCTTGACTCTGCCACTTAAGACAAGAAAAAATCTGCCAATTGTCTTTGTAAGCTGCATCCCGAATTCAGAAATGCAAATAAAAGTGCTTCTTAGAATCGATTAAGTGGGGTGGTAAACCCTTAATAAATTACTGGCTATTATTATTAAGCATCAGTTTGGTGCCAGGTATTTTACAGATCTAATGGGCATTCAATACCCGTGCTAGAGACGGGTCTCGTCCGCGGTTGACCAAAGGAAACCAGCTCAGGGAGGTTCCGTAACTGAGTGGAGGCCGCCCGGGTGGTGGCAGCGCTGGGATTCTCCACCCTCCCCACCCACCCCCACTTCTCCCCGTTGGTTTGGTCCCAAAGTTGGACCGGGATGGGGCTAGTCTCCCGCTCACAGACTGAAAAGACTGAAGCGGTGAAGCTGAGTGGTCTACGGCCCTGACTCCGGCGCCCGCACACCTGTCCTACCCGCAGCTGTTCGCGGTGGGCGGCTTCGACGGCCTGCGGCGCCTGCGCAGCGTGGAGCGCTACGACCCCTTCTCAAACACCTGGGCGGCCGCCGCGCCCCTCCCGGAGGCGGTGAGCTCTGCGGCGGTGGCGCCCTGTGCCGGCCGGCTCTACGTGATCGGGGGCGCCGGGCAGGACGGTGTCAACACCGACAAGGTGGGCGCGGGCGGGGACCGGAGAGGGTGTTGGAGGCTGCGGGGAAGCGGCGGCGCCTACCGTGTGCCAGTGTGCCAGGCGCAGAGCTGGGCGCTTTCGTGCCCTCGTCCATTTTCTCATTTAATCCTGTCAGCAGCCCAGAGGAGTCACCCCCATGTTTCAGGCAAGGAAATGAGTTCAGAGAAATGACCCAACGTCAGACAGTGGGTCAGCAGCACACCTGGACTCGAATATTTGGGCTGGTGCCATATGGGTTTCATAGATTTTAAAAATTAAGGGCTGGGATTAGTTAAAATGTTTTTACTCAATTCAAAAATAATACTCATTATTGAAAATTTAGAAAACAAAGAGTAGTAAAAAAATCACCCATAATCCTACCACCTAAGGATAACTTTATTAATATTTTGGTGCATTGCCTTCCAGGCTTCTACTTAATTGATTTTTGCTTTTCTTAGTTTTGTGTTCTCCCTGTTAGTAAAATTTTGCATTCTGCTTTTTGCTCTCACTTAAGTACTTTCCACATACCTAGAAACTCTTCACAGCCATCATTTCAATGTCTGTGTAATATTCTCCTGGCTAGATGAACCAGTCTACTAATCTAACTCTCTGTTGTTGGACATTTAGGCTTTTTGTGAATAAAAATTAAGCTTTATCATGACTGCTCCCTCCCTCCCCCATGGCCTCACAAGCCTGTGGTCCTGGGACCTGAATCTCTCCCAGATTAGGATCCCCACCCTTCCTTATTCCCTGGCCCCACTCCTCCAGCAAACCCTCCTGGAGCTGAGGGGGGGCACCTGTGGTGGGAGGCCCTGTTTAGCACCATCCCATGCAGCACCAGCTTCTTACAGGCTGTTGTGGAAGGTCTCCAGGGGAACAGTTGAGGAAGCAGCCAGTAGGTGAGCAGGCAGCTAGGTTACAGGTGTGCACCCTTAGGAAGCGTTTAAGGGCATCAAAACACCCATGGGCTTGAGAAGCCTGTGGACAACTATAGGAATGGGGCTATAAGAGAGTTAGAATCTTGTCATGATCTCAAAGCACCAGGAAAAGAGAAGGGAGTTGACAGTGTATGCAGCCAGGAACGTATCTCCGTGGAGGACCTGCTCTGAGGACCCTCTATAGCACTAAGGCATGTCTCCATCTGCTGGGATGTATACCTCTCCCAGCTTGCTGTGATTATCTTACACAAGGCGACTGAGTTCTCCTCCATCAAAGGAGAGACTTCCTGCAAGGGTGGAGGGTTGGGGAATGGAAACACCAGGGAAGGCTCTAAGGATGGGGTGGCATTCGAGCTGGACCTTGAAAGATGAAGCTTTTGACAAAGGGAGTCCAGGGGCCAGGACAGAACATAGAACTAGACTGAGAACATTTTAGGCCGGGACAGTGGGTCTCTGCTACCCTCCCAGATGCTGCCTAAGGCCAGGTGGACACTGGCAAGTGTTGTGCTGAATGAGTGCCCCTGGAGGGAGGTGGCAGGGCCTGGCAGTGGAGCAGTTGGAAGGTGTCTTCACCAGTTTTCCTCCTGCCCCTCAGGTGCAGTGCTTTGACCCCAAGGAGGACCGGTGGAACCTGCAGTCACCAGCACCCTTCTCACAGCGGTGTCTTGAGGCTGTCTCCCTCGAGGACAAAATCTACGTGGTGGGGGGCCTCATGAGCAAAATCTTCACCTACGATCCTGGCACAGATGTCTGGGGGGAGGCAGCTGTCCTCCCCAGCCCTGTGGTAAGTGGAGACTCTTGGGCACAGCACCCGGCACTGGTTCCATTCAGGAGAGCAGAACCCACTTCTAAGGCTCTGGATCTCAGAGGGAGTGAGTCCTGTGTGACTCCATGCTAGGTGGTTTTACACAGCACTCTAGCTTTGTCCTCATGTGATAAACAACTATGCATTTAAAAAAAAAAAAAAACACAGGCATTTCAGAGAAGAGAGGAGGGGGACCTGGCACAAGGCCACTTAAAGGCTATGTTAAGGCAGAGTCTAGAACACTTGTCCCAAGTGCTGTAACCTTGAGTGGGGGTTTGGTCTAAATGACCCTGCCCTGCAGGCCACCAGCTGGTAGCCTATTGTGGGGTAGCAGGTGGGGAAGGGATTTGCTAAGTTCTCCTGCTTCAGAGATTATCAGAGAGGGGTGGCTCAGGCCATGAAAGCTCTGGCCCCTGCAGTTCCTAGGTTCCCCCACCTTCTGTCCCCATCCCGTGAAACTCCAAAAAGACTATATAAAGGTGTAGTTGAACTGCCAATCCTAACCTTTGGTGATCCTAGGAGCCTAAGATTTCTAGCTTCCCTGAGTCTAAGATGGTGGTGGTAGTGATTGTTATTGGCATGTCTATTATATTCCAGGCACTATGTAAAATACTTTACCTGCTTGACCCCATTAACTGTTTATAGAACCATATGAAGAGGCACTATTATTATTCTCCCTTTACAGACAAGGAAACAGGCCTAGAGAGGTTAAGTGACTTGCGTAAGGCCTTTCATTGAGTAAGAGTCAAGCTGTGGAACTCAGGTCTATCTGGTTTCCTGCCTCTCTACCATCCAGATTGCCTGTCCATAGTCTGTGGGTCAAGGTCCTGTAATCTGGGCTGGCCAGTTAGGGACACAGGGAGCCCCAGGCTGTACCCCATAGTTGATTATCTTTCTGTTTGTCCACCCAGGAGAGCTGTGGCGTGACTGTGTGTGACGGGAAGATCCACATCTTCGGCGGGCGGGATGATCGCGGGGAAAGCACAGATAGGGTCTTCACTTTTGATCCCAGCAGTGGGCAGGTGGAGGCCCAGCCATCCCTGCAGCGCTGTACCAGCTCCCATGGCTGCGTCACCATTGTCCAGAGCCTGGGCAGGTGACTCAGACTTAGCCTGAGCCAGAAGGAGGAGAGGCGGGGGGACACAGGGCACACCTTTCTGCTTCCCTCATGGCCCCTCCAATGTAAATAGCCCCTTAATTTATTATCCCCTTTTCTTGTGGAAATAAAACCTCATTGGGTTTGTGTTCCAGCTTGAGCCTGCTTTGCCTAGAGAAGTAATCTGCAATATTACTTCTTGTGCTCTTTACAAAGCACTTTTATACCACCTTAGTCCGACTGGGCTGCTATCACAAAATACCTTAGACTGCGTAATTTATAAACAACAGAAATTTATTTCTCACAGTACTGGAGGCTGGGAAGTCTCAGATCAAGGTGCCAGAAGATTTGATGTCTGGTGAGAGCTCTCTGCTGCATAAATGGTGCTTTCTTGCTTTGTCTTGATTTCGCGGAAGGAGGCAAGGCAGCTCCCATCAACCTCTTCTATAAGGGCACTAATCCCATTCATGAGGGCTCTGCCCTCACTTCCTAAGTGATTTAATCTCTTCCCCAAAGGCCCCACCTCTTAATGCTATCAAATTAGGTAGTAGGCTCTGACATTCACACCACACCACATATATTAAACTATAAAATATTTCATGCATAGGCCAGGCGTAGTGGCACACACAGTAATCCCAGCACTCCCATGGCGGGTGGATCTCTTGAGCCCCGGAGTTTGAGGTTGCAGTGAGCTACGATGACACCACTGCACTCTAGCCTGAGCAACAGAGCAAGACTCTGTCTGAAAAATAAATAAAATATTTTATGCATAAAAAGAATATGTATAATAACAGTTCGAGAATAGTTTAGTATGTTTCCCAATATCTAGCTTAAAAAATAGAAGGTTACAAATGCCTCTGTAGGCCCCTGAGTTTATTCCCAAACCCATCCCTTCCCACACTCCTCCCAGAGATAGTTGCCATCCTTATATTTGAGATTATTAGCACTCACTGCTAGAAGCCAGGGCCAAAGTGGGGCTCCCTAACTCACGGAAGAGGCTGAAACAACACAGAACAAAAATAGTTGTGGATCCCCGAGCAGCCATGGGGTTGAGGATCACAGCAAACTGCAGGCCCAGGGCGGAGGATGCCGGAGCCACAGGCTTCTGAGAATCCAGCCACTCTGGCTCTGCGCCCACACCTGTGAGATCCCCAACAGCAAGATGGGGTACAGGCCCCTGATGCCATTATAAGCCTGGGGCTCTAGGGGCAGCAACATAAAACTGCTAGATAGGGAGGGGTGGGCTCAGGCTCAGAGAAGAAAAAGGGAACAAAAGATGCCAAAGACAGATTCTGTGAGGCTGAGGCCCAGCCGTTCAGTGTCTGTGCCTGTGGCTCTGAGGCCTGGAGGAGCTGGCCAAGCCCCATCTGTGGGTTCCCTCTCATTTGTGCTTGGATCGCCTTTTGAAGAGGAGTTATCATCTGCTCCTTGTATCCCCTTCCAGCACAGGGCCAGCCCTACACTCCTCCCCCTATTCCAAAGCCCCAGGGCCCTTTCTGCATGGTCTCTGGAGCGGGGGCTGGCCCATCACAGCAGGCACAAAGGCCTGGGTCCCAGCTGAGCTCCGACCAGCCGATTATCCCAGATTAGGGAGCCTGTGACCATCTGGACACAGCTGATAATGGCTGCAAGGGGAGGGGCGTGGGGTGGAGGCCCAGCCCCATGGCAATGCACAGGACAAAGCAAAGAAGGCGCTATATTGCTTGCCTACCCAGGCAAAAGGTAGGGGCAAATCCAGGGCAAGCTCTGCCCAAGGACATGGGCATGTCACCTGGGCTGGACACCTCCTGCATGGCAGGCATTGTCCCACTTTCTCCATGCTGATCGTTCATGCCCCCAGTGCTCTTTTGTGCATGTGTCAATGCCTCTACTGCTTTGTCTGCCTAGGCACAACTGACATCCTTCTCTCAGAGTTGCGCACCCTCCTTGTGCCCCTTCCTTATCTGCTGCCCCTCTTCCATCACCTGGCATATGGCTAGGCCTTTACATGTGACACACCCATAGGATGACCTTTAAGGCAGGAAAGGTATCAGCTTCACCTGTGTGTCCCCCAGTATCTGGAGCAAGGCCTCCTGCTGACTACACTAAATCAAAGCTTCCTGAGTCTCTGGCACATAATGTAGGGACTATTGCCACCCACCTGCCCCCTCCCAAATGAGGAAATAGAGACTCAGAATTGTCAAGTGAGCTGACTAAAGTCATTGGGCTGGTGAGCCCTGGCTGAGCCAGGATTCAAAACTGGGTCCAGCTATCTCCAAACCCAAGCTCTCTCACCAGGCTCTGCCAATCTGATAAAGCAGTGTTGAGTGCAAGAGTTATTGCTGTACAGGAGGAAGAGATACCATCATTTCCACCATGAGAAATCCCAACCTGAGGGAATACTGTCCCTGCTCATAGAGGCCTCCAAATGGATAAGGGGAGACATGATTCATGTCCCTGATGAGTGAGGCTTACAGAATACAAGCAAAAGTGACACACCATGTGTTCTAGACTACTGATTAGACTGAGAGACCATATATGGAGGTTCTCCATGGCTTCTGGTCCACTGCTCTTTGGACCCCCAGTCCAAATGAATGGGAGATTACTACCATTCAGCAAGAAACCAGACCACAAGTCCCTAGCACTGGCCTAGGCATGCAGGTTTGCCATCCCCTCCCAGCTGAGAACATAGAGATTTAACTCATGGCATACCATCAAAAGCCACTGGACCCAAATTTAGTTTCTGGGTTTCTTTTTTGAGCAGTTCTACATGTAAGGACTGATGCTTTATGACTATTACTCCTTAATGGTATTCCAAAGAACAATGAGAAAATGTACTTATTTTTTAAAAAACAGACTGAAACTCATTGTCTTACAATTACCATATGGATTTATTGGATTCTTTTACAAATCTAAAACACATTTTGGTATCTTGATAAACTATATTTTTCCTCTATCTTGAAACACTTTGCTATTTCTTCCTCCTAAAAATTACATATTATTCCCCAACTATGATAAACAAGACTAAGATAGAAAGAAAACAGAATGATGGTATCACCTAGAAACATGCAGTAGTGAAATAAACTATCATTATTATGTTATCCTTCAGTTTCCTTGCATTTTCCAAAATATTGTGTCATCTTTCAGACATCTGGAGACACTTAAGAATTTAGGACTTTTCATTTTCCAACAATGACAGAAGAGAATTGACATTTCATACTTGTTAGACAAATCAAAAAATATACAGACGGCAGCACTCTAGTCTCTAAAGATGGTGAAATTAGTCATATAAGCAAAATCTTTTCCTAAATTAATTTCCTCATATTGGTGAGTGAACAATATTTCTAAAGACAAAAAATAAATGTGGTATTTTCATCCAGTTAAATCATTCAACAGGAGGATTTCATCACACAATATTTTGTGACAAAACCTGGACCAAACTATTTTGCTAAAAAGTGATGTGACAATATTCTTTCATCTTTATGGTGCCTATGCACCAAAAGTAGAGACATGCTGAAGGCAGTCGTGTACAAAGGTGATTAAAGGAAAACATATGCTATAGAAATTTAAAATTCATTGGATTGGTTATTATGCTTATACATCTAAAATGAAAATATTTTATAATTATGGAGTAAAGAAAATAGCTCTTCTCAACAAAATTATGAGCCATCAAAAATTTCAAAAATATTGCACATTGACAATGTAAGTACAGAAACAAGACAAAACAACAGAAGCAATGATGAGCTAGAGCCTATTAGAGATGTGAACTCTGGAATCAACAGTTACACAATGAATGTTCCACATTTCACATTTGGCAGTTGATGAGCAAGCATGTTTCTATGCTTCTGGTTCTCCACAAGAGACAGTGTTCATTTTGGGTATAAGCCTTCAAGGCAAGGAAAATATGGAAGTTTGCTGTTTTAATTCATATATGCACATATATACACACACACGTATTTTCATATATATGAATAATACTTTATTAAGATGTAATTCACATACCATAAAATTTACCTATTTGAAAGGTACAATTCAGTAGTTTTTAGTTTATTCAAAGTTATGCTAATACTTATTAGAGTATTTTTGAATACTAGAATACTTGTTTGAATACTTGTTAAAATTTATAACAAAATTGTTTTTCACTATCCCTTTATTCTTATTTTGTAACTTATAAAATGACTTAAAACATAAAAGGGTGTGTCCACTGGATCCAAACAGTGAATGATGATGACTATTTTTCCTTGTATGGTGAGTAAGACCAGTGAGCAAAAGATCCATCTCTTTTGGCCCCCCTCTGGCAAGAAAGCAGCCCTATTGCTGTGCCTATGCTTTCCCTTCCCTTTTGAAAAGCAAAAACACCTGTAATTCAACATCAGGGGATCTCTGCGCCCTGCTCCATGGACAAAGGTCCAGCTGCACCTGGCAAGGCAGAGCTGTTCCTACAACATAGGACTGAGAAACACAGGCATGGTTCACTTGAATCTCAGAGCTACTGGTGCTCATCTTATTACCATACATTCCCCTAAGATATACTGCATAGGTTAATTAAACTCATTGTAAAATGGGTTAGTAATGGAATCTGTCCATTATAAGGATGTTGAGAAGATTAAATGAAATGTTTATAACAGAGTCAAAGCATATAACAATTATCTTCTTTCTCACCATGGTCATGCTGCTTATGTTAAAAATGTAACTTTGATTAATAATAACAAAGAAATGTTTGGTAAATAAAACATCAAAATCTGATGTCTCAGAGGAAGAAAATGTAAGGAAAACAATCTTTGAGGTTGAAACTGTTCACTTTCCTTGATACCTAAATCCTGCTCTGATATTGGCAGGCCCTGCTTTGAAATATAATAGCTGCATTTGTACATAGTGACACTGGAGCCCAGAAATAATCACTAGGTGGAAAACTGAACAAGGCACGGTAAAATTCCAAATTTACCACATGTAAAATGGAGATATTGATACCTACTTAGCTATACCCATATCCAGAAGCAGCAGAAAGCATGGTACCTGTGGCCAGGGCCCTTACAATGAGGATGGGGAGTATCCATTACCATGAATTTAGCTATGAATGATATAGAAGAGGATATGCTTAAGTAATAATAACAGCTAACACTCATTGAGCACATGCTACGAGTCAGGCACTGTGCTAGGCACTCTACAGGCAGATGACCAAAGGCTGAGAGGTAACAGATGTGC